ATGCCTTTTTCCAGCCAAGAGCCCTTTATGGACTTGGCTCGCACGACCTTTTCCTTTTACTTTTTTTTTTGAGTTAATTAGTAACTAATGATAGCCACTTTTAATAATTAACAATATTAAAATTATTAATATTTTCATAATTTTATATCCAATTATTTAAGTGTATACACACACACACACACACACATATATATATATATGTATATATATATATATATGTATATATATATATATATATAAGCAAGATAAAAATAATAGTAATAATAATAATTTAGTTCTATAATTAGCGTATCTTGAAACTTTTATAAATTTAATGAGTGTTACAAGAAGCTTGCACTCGTCCTATTTATTTTGGGTTGTAATTGGTTTGGATATCAAAGGTGGAATAGTTATAAGTAGATTCAAATCAAGGAGTAATCTATTGATGTATTTTATTATGCCATGAAATTCACTCTTTGTTTCTCATTTCTAATTATGTTTGACCGTGACATTGGACCATTACATATTTACTTATTTATTTATGTTGTAGTTATGCATTTCAATTACTATCAAAAAATGCGCGCAACCACCCTGCCAGAAATTTTAAATTAATTTGTTCGTTTTTTACCAGTCCACGAATGTTCACACTTGTGCTCTTATTGGTACCATCTAGGGTGGGTCGGGTCGGATATTGACGGGCCAAAACGGGTAATGCAAAATAAATAAATTATCCGACCCGGTTCATATTTTAATATGGATAGAAAATGGGTTAAATGTTGGATAATAAACAGACCCTCAAACTTGGCCTCAGCTGGCAAGTTTATCCTCCAACTTTGGGTGTGCACAAGCAGGCACCTCAACTTGTATAAAGTTGAACACGTAAATACAAATGCTGACGTGACACATAAATTTTGAAGGTGTCTAAATGATTATTTTGTAATAGGTATTGATTAAATTAATCTTTACGCGAATAGGTATGGTATGCCGCTAGTATCATCAAACAATGTGCTAGTGTAAATGGGATTGGAGCAGCTTTTGCTCTTGTTTATGTGTTAATTTTCCTCATATTTGCACCTAATAACGAGAGGGGGAAAATCTCGGGGTACCGGAGATGACAATAATGATAGCAATATGTAATAGAAATATGATGTAATAGTAGTAGTAGTATATATATGATGTTTAAACAATCTCTGTTGTACCTAACTGAATTTGATCAATCTATATGTGTTCTTAAATTTTTGGTTAAATTTATCCTCTGTCAGTTGATCCTTTTCCCGATTTAGCTGCATACAAACTTAATGGATAAAAAAATAGCTATCAATTCATATTATTCATCAAATGATCATATTCAAAAAGCCATGAATAATATGGATATTCATATTATTCGCCAGTTAACTCAATTTCTATATGTATTAAATATGGGTCGGATCAAATAATTATCCGCTTTTAACTCGCCCATATCCGATCTGACCCTCCCGTTTGTCTCCCCTAGTTCACGCGAACAAAAATATCGAAGAAAAGCAGTAAAAAGCGAAGAGGTTGGAAAGTTAAGAAAAAAAAGGATAAATTGTAAGCACAGCGGATGCATAAATTGAGGCAAAGACACTGTAACACTCCTCAAATTTATAATAAAGTTTCGAGACACGCTAATTATAGAATTAAATTATTATTATTATTATTATTATTATTATTATTATTTTTCTTCTTGCCTATAGTGAAAATATATATA